GCCGTTAATCGGAAGGTCAGCGGTTCAATCCCTGGCTCCCCCTGGTTGCGTGTCGAAGTGTCCTTGGGCAAGATACTGAACCCCGAATTGCCCCTGGCGGCTATTCCGCCAGTGTATGAGTGAGTGTGAATGTTAGTTTCCATTTGAGCACTTAGGATCAGTGTATGAATGTGTGACTGGTGAATGCAGATGTAGTGTAAAAGCGCTTTGAGTGGTCGAAAAGACTAGAAAGGCGTTATACAAGTACGGAGCATTTACATTTACTATCAATTGAGCTGTAGTTTCAGATCTGGAATCACTTTGAAGGCAAACAGAGGAAGCTTTTAGAATGCTGTGTCACATACAGGTGGCTGCACCTCCCTAGGCGCAAGTAATGATGAGGAATTGAGGAATGAAATGATTCCAGATTCTCATCAGAATGCAGATTTAGAGAACCAATTCTACATTGCAACTATTTTTTTTAATTGTAAATGGTTGTTGTTCCATTGTTTTGATTTTTAATTATTTTTATTTTTTACATTGTAAATTGTATTATTTTTCTCTGTTCTTCTGTTATTCTTTCATAACTTCCATTTGCTTATTACATATTTATATATTTCTACATCTATTTATCTCAGCTGTATGTCTGTCTGCATCTTAACACCAAAGCAAATTCCTTGTATGTGTAAAAAACTACTTGGCAATAAAGCTCCTTCTGATTCTGATTCTGAAATGGAAGCTAATATGTTGCTGTATAAAACAAAGGTGGCTGCATCACTCCAGGTCTATATAACAACTGTAGAATAGTAGTATTTGCCTATGTGTGTAGGCCCCTTTGTCAATGAGGAGGAAGGGCACCTTTCAGGAAATTTGAAGTTGGCTGGTGGTTAAATGTGACTCATTTCAGAGAACCAAAGTTTAAGATTTTTCACCTCATGAAGTGTTTTAAATATCTGAGAATGATGAGGGACAGGGAGCATGTAGGTGGTATTTTTTTGGACCAAACCTTTCATCAGAAGTGCATAGATTCATAGGAAATTATCCACTTTAAATGCAAAATTGTACTTATTAAAGAAAAGTCATACAGAGTGTGCAGGTGTAGTGTATTTGATCATTTCATAATCATTAACATGTAGGAAAAAAATACTCAAATCATAAATAGATCAACATGTCTACATCCCATGTCACAGGAAATAGAAAAGCACAAAAAAACATAAATTCCAAGTTTAAATTTAATAAATAATGATCTTTCCTTCCATCTTTCAATCTATTTTATACTTAATGCCTGTAGATGAAAATTTGGACTTCCTCTGTCAACAGGAAGTTGGAATTGTAGCAGCAGCAGCATCGAGCACATGGTGAGTAAGTGTCGGCTCTGCATTTTATCGATTTTTCTAATAAAATGCGTTTATACTTGGTTGATATTGTTGTATTTCAGTGAGAAATATCCCAGTGTCATGTTTTCATGCATTTTTTACTTTTAAAAACTCACTTTATTGCTTTTTCTGTTGTAAACGAATATATATATGACATAGATGTAAATGTTGAATGTAAATTTCAATCTACCTTCCACTTACGGGGCGGGTGTGGCTCAGGAGGTAGAGCGGGTTGGCCATTAATCGGAAGGTTGGCGGTTCAATCCCTGGCTCCCCCTGGTTGCGTGTCAAAGTGTCCTTGCCCCTGGCGGCTCTTCCGCCAGTGTATGAGTGAGTGTGAATGTTAGTTTCCGTTTGAGCACTTAGGCTCAGTGTGTGACTGGTGAATGCAGATGTAGTGTAAAAGCGCTTTGCGTGGTCGAAAAGACTAGAAAGTGGAAAAAAAAAAGCTTTCAGCTTTATTTTGTATCATTATATTTGTGTTCCAATTCCTAGTTCATCCAGATTCTGTCCAGAAACAGAAATGTCTACTAGTTTCCAATAATTATTAATTACTGATGTAGTTCTTTTTATGCAGGTGTCAACAGGAAGCCAGACATGGCTACAGTAAGTCACTCAGCAATGGCAGGTGTGTTAATGTTTTTGCTGTGTTTGTGTTCTAAAATTCATTTAATCACACAGATGTTCAACTTTCTAAAACTGTTTAAATCTAACTGACCCACGGATAGATCATGCAATAGAAATAGACAGGCAGGTGCCAAATGGAGTCCCCTCCGTCCACTTTGAGCTCCTGCCACAACAAAGACCGCCCCAAGATGCACCATATAGGCAAGTGCAGTTTCTACTTTAAATATATACAATTATTTCAAAACGTATGGTGATAAATCAAGTTATGTTTGTACTATATTACAATAAAGTGATTTTGTTTCCCTTTTAGATTGGGAGTGATATGTGGACGAGCATGTGACCTGATCATTTTATCTCTTGCTGCAATTATTGTGTTATACCTCATCATCATGATTATTCTCCATGAATACAAGTACCTTTAGCATTGCTGAGTGAAATAGAGGATGAAAGGGGATATGTCCAGGAAGGGCAAAAACTGTGAGAGAAGGGCTGGGATTTTTTATTTTGAGATGTTTATGTTTTATTAAGATCTCTATAATCACTCACAAAATATTATGGGATTTCGTTCAATTTGGTTTCGTTAAATAAAAGAGTCTAATGCAAAACTGATGAGTTCACTTTTGGATCCTAATTTTCTGTGAGGTAAAATTTGTGTAAAATAAATGTTTTTCATCCCCCTTCCTGTACGTAGCCAAGGGCCACCAAAAGTTGTGATATTACAACCTGTTATGTGGTGTAAAGCCTGAAATTTGAATGACTGATTGATAAAACGGGTTGAATTTAAGTACCAGTAGAAATATACTGCTGTGTCAGGGAAAGGGTGGAGGCATGATTCTAGCTACAAAAATATTATAAAAGGACAAAATTATTCCAAATGCTTATCTTTTGAGTGGTTTATAGATGCAATTATGGAATCACTTGGAAGGCCTATATGTTAAGGAGAGAGGGAGAGAGAAGGCTGATTCCAAGTACCAATAAAAGCCTAAAGACTCCTGTGTCGAGGACAGGTGTCTGCATCACTCTAGGTAGAAGTATCAATGAGTTTTTAAGGGACCAAAGGATTCCAGATTCTCATCTATTAAGTGGGCCATAGATTCAAAATCTGGAATCACTTTGAAGGCCTATAGTTTAAAGACCGAGCAGCCTGATTCCAAGTACCCTAGGAAGCGTGAAGGTTGCTGTATCACATACTGTAGAGTAGAGGAGAGTAAAGTAGAGGAGAGAGGAGCTCAGTGCATCATGGGAAGTCCCCCAGCAGTCTAGGCCTATAGCAGCAGGGATGGTTCAGGAGTAAACTGAGCCAGCCCTAACTATAAGCTTTATCAAAGAGGAAAGTCTTAAGCCTACTCTTAAATGTGGAGATGGTGTCTGCCTCCTGAACCCAAACTGGAACCTGGTTCCACAGGAGAGGAGCTTCATAGCTGAACGCTCTGGCTCCTAGTCTACTTTTGGAGACTCTAGGAACCACAAGTAACCCTGCATTCTGGGAGCGCAGTGCTCTGGTGGGGTAGTAAGGTACTATGAGCTCTTCAAGATAAAATGGTGCCTGACCATTAAGAGCTTTGTAGGTGAGACGAATGATTTTAAATTCTAATCTGGATTTTACTGGAAGCCAATGCAGAGAAGCTAAAACAGAAGAAATATGATATCTTTTCCTGGTTCCAGTCAGAACATGTGCTGCAGCATTCTGAATCTGAATCATTGTGGGTGTACTTCAAAGGCTGATATTTCAAATACTGATTGAAGGAACGGGTTGATTCCAAGTGCCAATAGAATCTTGAAGAAGTGGTATCAATGACCAAATTTTTCCAGATTCTCATCTACTGAAAGGGCTAAATATGCAAATCTGGAAATACATTAAAGGTTAACACTTTAAAGGCAGAGGGAGACAGTGGTCTAATTTCATGTACCTAAATTTGGATGCCCACATGGTCTCTACAGAAAGAATGGGCACATTTGAGGCCATATGGCATTGCCTGCCACTATTTCTGTGAGTAAATTTGTGATTCCATATTTTGATACACTGTGTTTGAATAGTGGAATCATGATATTTGGCAAGGTGGGTATGCAGATATTGTTCCAGCAGACGTTTTTGGTCACCTTTTTGGCCATTGGGATTATTTTGGAGTCATCCCGTGGGGGGCGGCTCCTAGGAATCTGTACAATATGTGTCAAAATCATAACTGAATTATATTTTTTGATAACTTTTCACTTTTAACCGCAGGCTGGCCTCTGAGAGCTTTTAAATGTTAGGTATTTAGGTTTAAGCCTGCTCTAATGAGATGAAATGAGCTTTTGCATAGTATCTCGACAGTTTCAGCATGATAGGCACACCATGCTGATAATGTTCACAATATTAAATTATTAAAAAATCTTTAAACCATAACGTAGATAGCCTATTCATTCAAGCAAGTTATATAGCAATCATCATCATTTTTAAATCAACTACGGCTGACATGCCAAGGCAGAGTGTTCCCTGGCATGTCGGTACGTAGTATTTTAAAGGAGGAGTTGGGGGTAAGCTGCGGAGTAAGACACATAAGAAAAACGTCCACTTTAAATGTTTAAATTTAATCAATGTTATTTCCTTCCATGTTTCAATCTATTATATAATGTCTGTAGATGAAAAAATGGACTTCCTTTGTCAACAGGAAGTAGAAGCTTCAGCAGGAGCATTGAGTACATGGTGAGCAAATCTCAGCTCTGTAATTTATATATTTTTCTCATACAAAAGTGTTGATACTTGGTTTGTGTTGTCTTATTTCAGTGAGTAACATCCCAATGTTATGTTTTATGCATTTTTGAACTTGTAAAAAGTAGTTTTTATTGCATTTTCTGTTAAAAATTTAAATGTTATCACATAGATGTAAATGTGGAATGTCAATTTATTTTCCAAATTTCAATTTACCATTGACTTAGTTAATAGATTGAAATCAAAAAGAGACAGCAAAAAAACTGTTATGTTCTATCTATCTAACAGATTTATGTTGATTCCCAGCATGCTGACTGTGGGGAAAAATGGACAGATGTACCAGAATGAGTGTGAAGGAACTGTGTGAGACCAATGACCTGGCAACTGCTTTGGTGTTGGACCCTCTGCTTGGCTTCAGAACCCATAAAATGAATATCAGTCCTCTACCAGAGATACAACATTGGGGTAATCTCAAAGAAACTTTGGTGCAATTTGAGAATACACATGACTTCAACAAGACTTTTGAGGCGCTGACAAAACTGGCTGGTGACTGTTTTAATTCTCTGGGAAGCCATCATCAAGACCTACTGAGGGAACATGTTTATCGCTACTTCAGTGCCTTCCTGTTGGACAGTGGTGTCAAGATAGAGTCCTGTGCGAGATACTCTTCAGAGACCAATGGAGCAAAGGTAACCTCTACAAGGCACTGGTTTGCAGGACAACGTATTGAGGTCTTGCTGGGCTGCATAGCAGAGTTTAGCCCTGCTGACAGCAATGTTCTGAAGGCAGGAATCAATGACTTCAGCGTGATGTATTCAATGCGCAAACATTCTGCTCAGCTGTGGCTTGGGCCTGCAGCTTTCATAAACCATGACTGTAAACCAAACTGCAAGTTTCTTGCTAGTGAGAAGAATATCGCTTATGTTGAAGTGATTCGACCAATCTCACCTGGGGAGGAGATTACGTGTTACTATGGTTCCAGCTTTTTTGGGGATCAAAATGAAAAGTGTGAATGCTGCACTTGTGAAGGGAATGGAGAGGGTCATTTCAAACACAGAGGGAAGCAGCTCCATTTTGAGGAAACAAAGGACCCTGTGAGCAAAAAGTACCAACTGAGGGAGAGATATCTTCATCTAAAAAGAAAAAGAAGGAACAAGCAGATTTCTGGACCAGCTCTGAAAGGTCAGCCAGAAAGAAAAATGTCCAGGGCCCAGAAAAGGCAGGGAAGAAGAACGGAGATCTCCACAGCTGAAGGTAACAGAAGGGGCAAATATTTTTGAAAGCTATTGATAAAATGATGATGGTAAGGGAGTGTAAACAATGATGAACAGGTTGGGCATGCGCTGTGTTATAAATAAAGTTCAAGAATCATGTCAGGAAAGGAAAGCTGTTCAAATAACAAAATAGATGGCAAATCATGTCAATAAACAATTGACAAGTAAGCATCAAGAAGGTATTGTTATCCCTTCACACCTCTAAAGTTATTTTGCCAGTGCACCTGAAAAAGGTTTTATGGTTTATGTGTGCTCCGTTTTACCCTGTTTGTCATATTCTGCCTGTCTGAGCTGTTTAATTTAGTTCTCCGCCAGTTCTGTTATTTAGTCTGTTCTGTATCTATTATTTAGTTTGTGTTTTGGGATTCAGTTCTGTCTTTTATCTTCTTTTCAGTTTTGCCTTTGTTCGTTGTGTTGTGTTTCCCTCCCTGCTTGCTAGCCGTGTGTGTGTGAGTATATTGCCTGTGTTTTCCACAGTCCATGTCATTGTAGCAGGTGGTTCTCAGACTGTTCTGAGGATATTTTGTGCCCATTTGGATTTCTGTTTGGATCACCTTTTTTCATTTGGACTGTTTGTTACTTTTTTGGATTGCTTTGGACTCAACCACTCTCAGTAACTGTCCTCACTTTTGTTTTGCTTTATTAAATCATCAAACTGTGTCTGCTCAGCCTTCATGTTAAGCTATTGGGTCCTAAAAGATTTTTTAACATTTGCCTTTCTTCTTTCTCCCACTCTAAATGCACAGGCCTAACAGAAGATCTTCCTTACCTGGTTGGCAGGATGGTAAGTGTATATCAGTAGGGAGTGCCCTTTATGATGGTTTGTTGACAATACAGAGCTTTATTTGTGCTATTTTTAATCATCCACAGAGTGAGCGACTGTGCGGGCTGTGTTTCCACAACTTCAGCAACTTAAAGCAACACCTGAAAGTGTCCCACACCATTCAGAACAAAGAAGAGTTCCAGCTTCTGATGAAATATGGGAATTCACGGTTGGATCAAGATAAATACAGTTTTACATGTTGTATTTATTTTTGTTATTTGCACTGATTTCCTCAACATTTATTGTTAATTTCGCACCACAGAACTAGCAAATCCTTGGAATGCACAATATGTGGGAAGGGGAATCTCGTCCGCCTTGATAAACACTTACAAAAAGCACACAACATTGGTTCAGCAGAGGTAGGAGATTCAATTTCTGCACAATCTGTTGTAAATCATGTTTGTCCATCTAATGCCACTTTTGATTTCATGAAAAAAATTGTTGAAAGGAGCGAGAACCGATCATGAGGCAGGCCAAGAGAGCAGTCATAGTTAAAATGCTGGCAGAACTGCGTGAGTCCAACCCTGATGTGCCCATGGTATCCAGCTTGGACTTGGATGTTACCACAGAACATGGTAATTTTAAGTTCTGTTAATGTTATGATATATATCGATTTGATAGGGGCACTGAAAAGGAGGCTTAAATCATCATATCGTGTTCAAACTCTAATGACTTCTGTGTAACAACCAAATATTACACATATAGACTGAAATTTGTATCCCAAGGCTTTAAACTTTAAACTATTTAAGAGGAATATGTTCTGCCTACTGGAGAAATCACTGAGGAGGCTGCATCCAAGGAACTGAGGGAGGAGCCAGAGGGATCAGAGTACAGGGAAGAGGAGGAGGCCTTGAGTATCAATTCATCATCCAACAACCATCCTGCGACTGGAAATCATTCTGCCTTCCAATGTTCCACCCCCACACCTCAAAGACAGGATCGTGATTACAGCATGTCCTCCTCCAGCGACCTTCCTCAAAATACTGATCAGCTGCTGTTTTCCACCCCTGTTTCTGGGGCCCAAAACTCCTCTGCCAGTCACCAAATCCCTCCCACCGCCCTGTGTGGGTCTATGCCTCCGCCTTCACGTGAGACTGTGTCTTCTTTTAAATTATCGGGGCACTTGAGTGGCCATAGTCAGCTCTTGACTGGTTCAGTGTCAAGGGACTGCATGTGCATCTTGGAGAAGTTGGATTCCAGATTGCAGCAGCTGGAAAAAAAGATGGACTGTTTGATGGCAATGCAGCGACAGACACCCATCCTGACCAAAGCACCTCTATCTGTTCAAAAAAGTGAGCATGTCAACAAGGGAAAGAAGGGCACTTTTTTCTATGGTAAGTTATTCATTCCTTTCTATTACAATTTGGGAGAGGAGAATGACGGTTATGGATAGATGGTTTTCCATTTCACGTTTGTTTTGCAGAAAATACTGTTGACGACTTTTTCAAGGTTCGCCTGGGGCCTGGAAGGAAAGATAGAGAAAATGCAAGGAAGTCTTCAAGCCATGCTCTTTGCTTTTGCCTCTATATGGCTGCTGGTCTACCCTCCAAGATCGTCTCCAGTGACCTAAGGTTCATGAACCAAATGGAAAAGTTGCGTGGGTAAGTAAAAAAGAAAATAAGGAAACTTTTTATATAGCACCTTTCACAGACAGGTCAAAAAGTGCTTAAAAGTAAAACATAAGGAAGTATTTTTCTTTCATATTTTTCAAGGCCCAGAATTATTACATATATTTTTTATGCAGGCACAAATTACTCCCCAAATCTTATCTATGGATTCAAAATTATAATCTCTGTTGTGAAATAGATGTAAATATGGAATGTCAAATGTGGTGGTGGAATTGGAAGTAAGAGTGGCTTGTAACGGCTTACCTTTTTCCATAGTTGGCCAACATACCTGGTCCAGAAGGGCTACGCACCCTCATCAATGAAAAACATTTTGACCAACGTGATTATGTTTTTCAAGCACGTTGAAAACGCCTTCCTGACTCAAAGTAAGCTCAAACAGAATGAAATAAATAAAATCCTGTACGAGCTGAAGAGGATCCAGGCTGAGATTCAAAGAACGCAGGTTGTCCACCGGCAAAAAGTGTTGCGTCCTAAAACAGGTACTTTTTATCAAGGTCTTCTTGATCTTGTTCTCACAAAAAATTACAAATTGGATTCTCATCGACTGTGGTGCATTTCGCACTATTTTCACAGATGATCAGCTTCATGCAGCTCAGGAAAGCACTTTCATGACAGCTGCGAGGGAAAAAATTCCTAAGCTGTTTGGTAAGTATACTTAATTATTTATGCTGTAATGCTCGTTTTTCGGTTGCTTACATTCACAACCAACATTTTTTTTTATGATGTTTTGTAGAACGATTGGAGAGCAGTGGAAATCAGGAGAATGAGCATTCTAAGCTAATGGGCTACATCATGGGCTACCTGTGCATCCTCACTGGACACAGATCGGTTGTCCTCACCAACATGACAAAGGAAAATGTGGTCAACTTTGACTGTTGGAATCATGGCGAGATATTCCAAGTCCTGGTTAGTACCTCTGTTGTTTTTGGAGTTTATTTATTCCCTTTCGGATTAGTTTCTTCTTGGAGTGAAACCATCCGTTAATGCACATATCAAGTGAAAGCTGAGGGGTTAAATGAGCAGTTTCTCTTCCAAGAGAAAGTTTTCAAATTCCAAAAATAAAAAATGGCTGTAAATATATTAAATAAAACTACAGATAAATTCTGATGGTAAAATAATGCTGAAACACTTCTGTCTGGGGGGTGGAATTTGGGTTGTAAACATGTCACTCAAAAGCACAAATTTTTTTTTTGTGGGCTTGCTATTTCAGCATGTAAACTTGATAACTAAAAATTACACACTTGACCTAGACACACCGGAATTCCTTGTTTGGAAAAACTGATTGAGGAACTAGGCCGATTCCAAGCACCAACACAAGCTGGAAGATTAATGTATGACACACATGTAGCTGTATCACTTCAAGTACGAGTAATATTGTTTATGGGACCAATTTGTCATCTATTGCATTAAATGAATGACATTTTGGTTGTACTTCAAAGTCTGGTATTTGAACAACTGAGAAAATGGTTTGATTCTAGGTACCAATGGAAGCTTGTAGTTTGCTATATTAAAGACAGGTGGCTGCATCACTGTACTTTAATGCAGTGTTGAGTTACTAAAGGACCAGTTGGTTCCAAATTCTCATCTACTGAGTGGGCCATAGATGCAATTCTGGAATCACTTTGAAGGCTGATATATTTAAGACAGAAGGAGAGTGCAGGTTGAGTCTGAGTACCAATGGAAGCTTTTAGATCTGGTGTGTGGCCTCATCTCCCAGCTACAAGTCAACAGTCATTGGTGATTTGTTTTGTATAATTTAAGTGCATCCACTCAGACAAATCATGATTTTCTGAATTTCATTTCCCAAGGTTGATGACCACAAAACCATGCAGTCATTTGGTCAGGCTGCATTCAACCTAAATGAGGAGGAATTTAGGTGGCTGGAAAACCTCGTCAACTGCAAGTGCTGTCCTCAAGGTCAGGCCAGTGATTATGTTTTCCACACAACACTTGGAAAACAGATTGGTAAGGCCGGGCACTTCCTTCATCTCGCTTGGGTGGACTGTGGAATGAAGGGCACAATCAGTTTTAACAAGATCCGGAGCAGTGTCTCTACTCAAGTAAGTACTTAATGCAAGATAGGATCTGGCTATAGGATGGTTTTTAAAGTTGTAATTGGTAACTTTTTATTTCTTGGGCTTTCCAGGCCAACCAATACCTCTCTGAGAAGGAGAGAAAACAGGTGGCAAAAGCCATGTGCCACAACCCCAGCACGGCAGAGAGATTTTATGTGGCTCTACCAGAAAAAGTCACGGCATATGAGACAAGGTGGCCGAGACCAAAGGCGTTAAAGATGACCATTGTGAACATCTCTGAGGAGGATGAAAACAACACTGATAAGTCATTAGAAGACACACCAAAGGCGAGCACAGAGGATGAGGAGCCAATCTACGATGACCACGAGTCCTCTTCACTGTCATCTGAAGAGTTAAGGATCATGCGTAAAAGACGTGGAAGGCCTTTCCAGTCAAGTAGCGGGATTAGAATCTCCTCCAGTTGTGAGGTTCCCGCACCATCACAGGACAGACTTCCACCAGCTCAACTTCTCAAGTCCAAGAGGCAATTGGATTTCTCAATGGAAGACGGCTCAAAAATACTTGTCTGCACACCTTCAAAGTTTTCTTGTGGTGATGAGAAGTTGCGCCAAACAATTGCTGATGATTGTCTCTTCAAAGCAAATCTTTCCAATGCCCTGCCTGGGCAAGCACCCCTTGCCGACCTAAAGAACCTACCTGCACACCTAACTGAGCAGAGCACCATGTTCCTTGCAGCACAGACGGCTCTGGAGGAACCAAGTAGCGAGCCCGAGCCCCTCACTGCCAAGACCACAGATTGTGTGTCAGTGCCCGAAACTGAGCTGGTCCCAGGGAATGTGCCAGCACCCTTGAGCCCCGTACAGCAGACTCCCGACTGGCTGATACAAATACAAGAGGAGAAGGATGCACAAACCCCAGTGGGACTGGACCCAGAATGTGTTCTGAATCTTATGTTCCAGGAGAGACCAGAGTTGGTGTCAGAAACACCAGAAGACCAGATGCCACAAACCTAAGCAGAGGAGGTGCAGAAGCCCTAGCCAGGCTGGACCCTGGCATGTGCTCAAAAACCTATCATGCAGGTGACCCAGGAGTTGGTGCCACGAACGCCATCAGAGGAGGTTTTTGGGTTTGTGAATGTCCCCTTACCCGGGAGACAAAAACAGTGCCCCTAGGAGGAGATTAACCCTGGATGGGTATTACTCATGGTTAAAAATATAAGGTTTAATTCATATGTTCATCTTTAAAACGAGAAGGAATGCTGACGTTCTGATTTATTACTTTTGTCTGTAAATGTATAATTTGCTTATAGTTGTGTCTTAATGTTGCCAGTCTATCTAGACACACTTGCAGTCTCACACAGTTGCGCACACACACACTCTTTTACTTTTGATTATACTTATTTACCAAAATTATTAAAAATATCTCAGCAGAATTGTTCAAAGTAAGTGTTTCTAAGACCAATTTACATGCTTGTGTCTGCCTCCTTTTTTGAGTATGTTTTTTTAATTTTGAAAGTTGTTTTGATTGTTCTGAGTAAATGTAATGTGTTGTCAAGACCCACAGTTCTCAAGATTGTTGTTTTTGAGAATAGCCATAAATGAGCATCTGGAAGTACTGCAAAGGCTAGTATGTAAACGATGTAAGGAGAGGGTGGGTTGACTCACCAATAGAAGCTTGTAGATTACTGTATTGAAGACTGGTAGCTGCATCAGCCAGTTGGCCTCATCACTACTGGAATAAGCAATGATGAGTTACTAATGGACAAAATGATTCCAAATTTGTATCTATTGAGTCAATGAAAATTCTGGCATCACTTTGAAGGCTGATATTTTTAAGACAGAGGGAGAGAGCAGGATATTCCAAGTGCCAATTGAAGCTTGTTTATAGTAAGTGTGTGTTTGTGTGTGTGTGTGTGTGTGTGTGTGTGTGTGTGTGTGTGTGTGTGTGTGTAGGCCCTGCAATGAGGAGGATGGGCACCTTTCAGGCAATTTGGAGTTAGATGTGTGATTAATTTCATCAAAAATCACAATTGAGATTTTTCACCTCATTAAGTGTTGTAACTACCTGAAAGTGATGATGAACAAGGATCATGTCTTAAATAGATCCAAATTGTGTACTTCCTTTCTCACAGGAAGTAGAAAAAAGATAACCAAAAGTCCAAGTTTAAATTTAATCAATACTGTCCTGACATTCCATGTTTCAATCTGTTGTATAATGAATGCATGTAGATGGAAACTTGGACTTCCTCTTTCAACAGGAAGTAGTGACTTCAGCAGGAGCATTGAGCACATGGTGAGTGTTAGGTCTGTAATTTATACATTTCTTTCTGCAAAAGGGTTGATATTTGGTTGATTTTGTCTTTGTCAGTGAGTTACATCCCAGTGCCATGTGTTTTATGCATTTTCAAACTTAAAATGTATTTTGTATTGCATTTTCTGTTAAAAACGAAAATGTTATGACATAGATGTAAATGTGGAATGTCAATTTTATTTCCAAATTTCAATCTACCTTCCAATTAGTTCATAGATTGAAATATGAAAAGAATATCTATATTCAACATTTTATACTTTTACAGCTACTTAGATGCTGCCCAAAGTTATTGTGGTAGGTGTCTGCCTTTGCCCCTCATTCTGGATTTTTCAATTAATTTAATTAAAAGAATGATAAGTGCTAGACAAGCTCTGAAAGGACAGATAGAAAGAAGAGTGTCTAAGGCCCAGAAGAGGCAGAAAAGAGGTCTAGAAGGGGGAAATGTTTCTTAAAGGTACTGATAAAACAATTGAATGGAAGTGTAAAAAAAGATTAACCTGTTTGACATGCAATGTGTTGGAAATTAAGTTCAAGAATCATGTCAGGAAAGGAAAGCTGTCTAAATATATCAAAACAGAAGGCAAAGTATGTCAATAAAAAACTTTTAAGTAAGCATAAAAAAGATATTGTATTGTTGTAGGGCAGGCAACGCATTTCAGGTCTGTTCTACTGCTAAATACCGTCATAAGAAGAAATAAAAAAGAATATTTTGTGACCTGGCTTGTCTTCACACAAGTTTTTATTGGTTAAATGTGCTCCGTTTTCCTCAATGTTGACATTTTAAACACTTTTCTTTCTTAGCCACTCTAAATGCAGAGGTCTAACAGAAGATCTTCCTTACCTGGTTGGCAGGATGGTAAGTGTATATCAGTAGGGAGTGCCCTTTATGATGGTTGTTGATGAAACAAAGCTTCATTTGTGCTATTTTTAATCTTCCACAGAGTGAGCGACTGTGCGGGCTGTGTTTCCACAACTTCAGCAACTTAAAGCAACACCTGAAAGTGTCCCACACCATTCAGAACAAAGAAGAGTTCCAGCTTTTGATGCGATATGGGAATTCACGGTTGGATCAAGATAAATATATTTTTGTGTGTTATTTATTTTTGTTATTTGCACTGATTTCCTGAAAGCTCTTTTTTTCCCATTTCGCACCATAGAACTAGCAAATCCTTGGAATGCCCAATATGTGGGAAGGGGAATCTCGTCCGCCTTGATAAACACTTACAAATAGCGCATAAAATTGGTTCAGCAGAGGTAGGAGATTCAATTTGTGACTGTAACATCTGCACAATCTGTTGTAAATCATGTGTTTTTCCATCTAATGCTACTTTGATCTCATGAATAAAATTGTTGAAAGGAGCGAGAACCGATCATGAAGCAGGCCAAGAGAGCAGTCATAGTTAAAATGCTGGCAGAACTGCGTGAGTCCAACCCTGATGTGCCCATGGTATCCAGCTTGGACATGGGAGTTACCATGGAACATGGTAATTTTAAATTCTGTTAATGTTATGATATATATGTGGACATGATAGGGGCACTGAAAAGGAGCCTTACATTATGACATCCTATTCAAATACTAGTGGCTTCTGTGTAGCAACCAAATAATGCACATAGAGTAAAATTTGGAACCCAAGGGTTTAAATTTACAATTAAAATCTCCTACACTTTATTTTAGAGGAATTTGTTCCGCCCATTGGAGAGATAATTGAGGAGGCTACTTCCAAGGAACTGAGAGAGGAGCCAGAGGGATTGGAGTACAGGGAAGAGGAGGAGGCCTCGAGTATCAATTCATCATCCAACAACCATCCTGCGACTGCAATACATTCTGAATTCCAATGTTCCACCCCTATAACTCAAAGACAGGATCATGATTACAACATGTCGTCCTCCAGTGACCTTCCTGAACACACTGGTCAGCTGCTGTTTTCCACCCCTGTTTCTGGGGCCCAAAACTCCTCTGCCAGTCACCAAATCCCTTCCACCGCCCTGTGTGCATCCATGCCTCCGCCTTCACACGAGACAGTGATTTCTTCTAACCTACCGGGGCACTTGAGTGGCCACAGTGAACACTCGACTGGTTCAATGTCAAGGGACAGCATGTGTTACTGCGAGCAGTTGGATTCCAGGTTGCAGCAGTTGGAAAAAAAGGTGGACAGTTTGATGGCAATGCAGCAACAGACACCCATCCTGACCAAAGCACCTCTATCTGTTCAAAAAAGTGAGCATGTCGGCAAGGGAAAAAAGGGCGCTTGTTTCTTTGGTAAGTTATTAATTTTTTGCTGTTACAATCTCGGGGAGAGATAGTTAGAAGGTTATATTATTTTTAATGTTTATTTTGCAGAAAAGGCTGTAGAAGACTTCTTCAAGTTTCGCCTGGGGCCACGGACTGGAAGGAAGGACAGGGAAAATGCAAGACAGTGTTCAAGCCATGCTTTTCGCTTTTGCCTCTACATGGCTGCTGGTCTACCCTCCAAGATCGTCTCCAGTGACCTAAGATTCCTGAACCAAATGGACAAGTTGCGTGGGTAAGTTTTTTTTTCATGTTTTTCTTGGTCCAGAAATATTATACTTTATGCTTTTTATGTTAGCACAAATTACTCCCCAAATCTTATCTATGGATTCAAAATGATGATTTCTGATGTTGGGAAATAGATGTAAATATGGAATGTCAAATGTGGTGGTGGAATTGGAAGTAAGAGTGGCTTGTAATGGCTTACCTTTTTCCATAGTTGGCCAACATACCTGGTCCAGAAGGGCTACGCACCCTCATCAATGAAAAACATGTTGACCAACGTGATTATGTTTTTCAAGCATATTGAAAACTCCTTCCTGACTCAAAGTAAGCTCAAACAGAATGAAATAAATAAAATCCTGTACGAGCTGAAGAGGATCCAGGCCGAGATTCAAAGAACGCTGGTTGTCCACCGGCAAAAAGTGTTGCGTCGTAAAACAGGTACTTTTTATCAAGGTCTTCTTGATCTTGTTCTCACAAAAAATTACAAATTGGATTCTCATCGACTGTGGTGCATTTCGCACTATTTTCACAGATGATCAGCTTCATGCAGCTCAGGAAAGCGCTTTCATGACAGCTGCGAGGGAAAACATTCCTAAACTGTTTGGTTAGTAGACTTAATTATTTATGCTGCAATACTCATTTTTCGGTTGCTTACATTCACAACCAACATTTTTTTAATGGTGTTTTGCAGATCTATTGGAGAGCAGTGGAAATCAGGAGAATGAGCATTCTAAGCTAATGGGCTACATCATGGGCTACCTGTGCATCCTCACTGGACACAGATCGGTTGTCCTCACCAACATGACAAAGGAAAATGTGGTCAACTTTGTCGGTTGGAATCATGGCAAGAGATTCCAAGTTCTGGTTAGTACCTCTATTTTTCGGGGGGTAATTTACGCTGGGCTGGACTTTTTAACCTGGACTACATGTCATCCCTTCCTAAGTGAAACCATCTTTAGTGCACATTTCAAGTGAAAGCTGAGGGGTTAAAGCAGTTTCAAAAAAATTTCTAATTTAAAAATAAAAATGGCTGCAATTATTTTAAATAAAACAATAGATAAATTCTGGTGATAAAATAAAGTGGAAACACTGCTCATTTGTTCATTTGCAAGAAGTTTTAGTAGTAATCTTATCTATTGTATTAAATAGATGATAATTTAGTGTAATACAAAGTCTGTCATTTCAAAATGTTATTGAGGGAATGGATTGGTTCTAGGTGGCAATGGAAGCAAAGACAGGTGTCACCATCACGCTAGAGATCATAACCAGTAGATTCCAGATTCTCGTCTATTAAGTGGGCCATATATTAAATTCTGGAATCACACCGGAATTCCTATATTTTCAAGACCAAGGGAGAAAGCAGACCGATTCCAAGTACAAACAGATGCTTGTAGATTGCTGCATCAAAGGTAGCTGCATGTCTGTAGGCACAAGTAATCATGAGGAGGGGATTAGGGGATCAAATGATTCCAAATTCATGCATTATATGGATGACATTTTGGGTGCACTTCAAAGGCTGGTGTTTCAATAACTGATTGAGAAAATGGTTTGATTCTAGGTACCAATGGAAGCTTGTAGTTTGCTATATCAAAGACAGGTGGCTGCATCACTGTACTTTAATGAAGTGTTGAGTTACTAAAGGAATAGTTGATTCCAAATTCTCATCTACTGAGTGGGCCATAGATGCATATCTGGAATCACTTTGAAGGCTGATATATTTAAGACAGATTTAGAGTGCATGTTGAGTCCAAGTACCAATGGAAGCTTTTAGATGTGACGTGTGGCCTCATCTCCCAGCTACAAGTCAACAGTCATTGGTGATTGCTTTTGTTTAATTTAAGTGCATCCACTCAGACAAATCATGATTTTCTGAATTTCATTTCCCAAGGTGGATGACCACAAAACCATGCAGTCATTTGGTCAGGCTGCATTCAACCTAAATGAGGAGGAATTTAGGTGGCTGGAAAACCTCGTCAACTTCAAGTGCTGTCCTCAAGGTCAGGCCAGTGATTATGTTTTCCACACAACACTTGGAAAACAGATTGGTAAGGCCGGGCACTTCCTTCATCTCGCTTGGGTGGACTGTGGAATGAAGGGCACAATCAGTTTTAACAAGATCCGGAGCAGTGTCTCTACTCAAGTAAGTACTTAATGCAAGATAGGATCTGGCCATAGGATGGATTTTGAAGTCATAGTTGGTAATTTTTTATTTCTTTGCTGGGGTTTCCAGGCCAACCAATACCTCTCTGAAAAGGAGAGAAAACAGGTGGCAAAAGCCATGTGCCACGACCCCAGCACGGCAGAGAGATTTTATGTGGCTCTGCCAGACAAAGTCACAGGATATGAGACAAGGAGGCTGAGACTAAAGGCTTTAAAGATGGCCATTGCAAAACCCTCTGAAGAGGATGAAAAGATAACTGATACTTCATCAGACGACACACCAGAGACAAGCACAGAGGATGAGGAGCCAATCTACGATGACCACGAGTCCGTCTCTTCACTGTCATCTGAGGAGTTAAGGGTCATGCGTAAAAGACGTGGAAGGCCTTCCAAGGCAAGAAGTGGGGCAAGAATAACCTCCAGTTGTGAGGTTCCCACATCATCACAGGACAGCCTTCCACCAGCGCAACCTCTCAAGTCTAAGAGGAAATTGGATTTCTTAACTGAAGAATCTGCAGAAATACATATCTACACACCTTCGAAGTGTGCTATTGTTGTTGAGAAGTTGCACCAACCAATTGCTGAGTATTATCTCTTCAAAGCAAATCTTTCCAATGCCCTGCCTGGGCAAGCACCCCTTGCCGACCTAAAGAACCTACCTGCACACCTAACTGAGCAGAGCACCATGTTCCTTGCAGCACAGACGGCTCTGGAGGAACCAAGTAGCGAGCCCGAGCCCCTCACTGCCAAGACCACAGATTGTGTGTCAGTGCCCGAAACTGAGCTGGTCCCAGGGAATGTGCCAGCACCCTTGAGCCCCGTACAGCAGACTCCCGACTGGCTGATACAAATACAAGAGGAGAAGGATGCACAAACCCCAGTGGGACTGGACCCAGAATGTGTTCTGAATCTTATATTCCAGGAGACACCAGAGTTGGTGCCAGAAACACCAGAAGACCAGATGCCACAAACCCAAGCGGAGGATGTGCAGAAGCCCTAGCCAGGTAGGGCCTGGAATGTGCCACAAACCCCATCAGAGGATGTTTTTGGGTTTGTGTATTTCCCTTATTCAAGACACTAAAACATATTGCCCCTTGGATGTGATTACCCCTTGATAGGAATAATCATGTTTAAAAAGTTTAGGTTTTATAGTAATATACGTGTATTTAGCTTTAAAAGGAGAAAGAATGCTGACGCTTTGATTTATTTACATTTTTTGTTAAATTTATAGTTTGTCTGTGTTAGATTGCAAGTTGGTCTAGCTAGATTGTTTCAAATACATGCTCACACACTCATGCACAAGCAAACATGCACGTATATACACACACACATACACACACGCACACACACACACACACACACACACACACACACACTTTTTATTTTGATCATACTTACTGAACTTAAAAAATGTAAAATATCTCAGCAAAATTGTTGAAAGTAAAATTTTCAGAGACCAATTTACATGCTTGTCTGTCTCCTAATTGATTTTTTATTTAGTTTTCAAAGTTGTTCTGAGAGTAAATGTAATGGTAAGTTGTCAAGACCCACAGTTCATAGGATTGTTATTTTTGAAAATATCAATGGATGAGCATCTGGAAGTACTTCAAAGGCTAGTATGTAAAAGATGGAAGGAGCGAGCAGGTTGATTCCAACCAATAGAAGATTGTAGATTGCTGTGTCGAAGACTGGTAGCTGGATCATGCTAGGTACAAGTCAGGTGACTGCATCACTATCGGTATAAGTAATGATGAGTTATTAATGGCCAAAATAATTAAAAATTTTTAATCTATTCAGTGAACACAATTGTGGAATCAGACAGAGGGAGAGAGCAACCTGATTCCAAGTACCAGAGGAAGCTTGTAGATGGTCGGTGAGGAATATGAGCATCTTTCAGGCTATTTTGAGTTGCCTGGTGGTTAGACAGGGCATTCCAGGAAAACACAAATCATAATAACATGTTCTTAATCCTCATTGTTACCCGTGCTGGTGTCAACACCGATTTGTTATTATGATTTCTCGAACGGGCTGAAAAAGCAGCCAAGTGGGGATGAGAATCCTCGTTGTACAGGTTCAATTCAATTCAATTCAATTTTATTTATATAGCGCCAAATCACAACAACAGTTATCTCACAGTTCTTTTCATAAAAGAGCAGGTCTAGACCGAACTCTGTGATGTTATTTACAGAAGCCCAAAAATTCCAACCAAGAGCAAACACTAGGCGACAGAGGCAAGGAAAAACAGGCAGAACCATGGCTCAGGGTGGGTGGCCATCTGCCTCGACCGATTGAGGGTGAAGGAGAGAGAGAGAGAGAGAGAGAAGGGAGGCAGCCTATACAATATACACACAGAGCTACGGACAGTAAAGATGATGTTGCTATAGACTAAATGAAATGTGATACAGATATTTACAGTAGTGTTAATGATAATAATCGCAATTTTAATGATTATAATAACAATAATAATAATAGGACTAGTAACAATAATTGCAGCAAAGCATGTTGAGCAGGAACACAGATCCAGACTCCACAGCTCCAGAGCCAGAAACACCTGCAGGAAGTGATAGGAGGAGAGAGGGCAGGGAAGAGAAAGCACAAGACTACGGGAAAGGGGGGAAGTTGTGTTAGTAACATGCAATAATGGGACGAGGTTGCATACAGAGGGAGAGAAAGTAGAGGAGAGAGGACCTCAGTGCATCATGGGAAATCCCCCCGGCAGTCAAGGCCTATAGCAGCATAACTAAGGGATGGTTCAGGACTAACCTGAGCCAGCCCTAACTATAAGCTTTATCAAAGTGGAAAGTCTTAAATGTGGAGATGGTGTCTGCCTCCTGAACCCAAACTGGAACCTGGTTCCACAGGAGAGGAGCTTGATAGCTGAACATTCTGGCTCTTAGTCTACTTTTGGAGAATGCATTCTGAGAGCGCAGTGCTCTGGTGGGGTAGTAAGGTTCTATGAGCTCTTTAAGATAAGATGGTGCCTGACTATTAAAAGCTTTGTAGGTGAGAATTTCAAATTCTATTCTGGAATTTACTGGAAGTCAATGCAGAGAAGCTAAGACAGGAGAAATGTGATCTCTTTTCCTGGTTCCTGTCAGAACACGTGCTGCAGCGTTCTGGATCAGCTGAAGAGTCTTAATGGACTTTTTCGAGCAGCCTGATAATAAGGAATTGCAGTAATCCAGCCTAGAAGTAACAAATGCATGGACTAGTTTTTCTGCATCATTTTTAGACAGAATGTTTCTAATTTTCATAATATTACGTAGGTGAAAAAAGGTGGTCCTTGAAATTTTCTTAATGTGAGACTTAAACGACGTGTCCTGATCAAAGATGTCTCCAAGATTCCTCACAGTGGTGCTGGAGGCCAGGGCGATGCCAGGTAAGCTAGTCCAAACAAATACACCGGAGAATATAATCATATGCCAATGTAGCCACATGAGGCTACACCTTCAAGTGGACAAGACAATAGAGACATTGTATTATCAAGGTGAGAGCGGATCAGTTATAAATCAAAGACATCAGTTGGTAGTAAATTGGGGGCTAAGCTACAGTGGTGAGGGGTGAGAAAGGTTGAGATCTTCTAGCTGGATAAGTGCTTCTCTCAGAATACTCTCAGAATACAGATTGACATAGATCATTGCAAGTGCCAAGTGAAGCTTATTTAAGCCTCTGCCTTATTGTTTGTTTTTCATGTTGTAAATTGATCCAAATTGTCTACTTTCTATTTCATAGGACATAGAAAAAAGAAAATATAAATTCCAAGTTTAAATTTAATCAATAATGTTCTTTACTTCCATGTTTCAATCTATTGTGTATTGAATGCATGTAGATGGAAACTTGGACTTCCTCTTTCAACAGGAAGTAGGAGCTTCAGCAGGAGCACTCAGCACATGGTGAGTGTCAGCTCTCTCAAATATTTTTATATTTGTCTCATACAAAAGTGTTGATACTTGGTTGGTGTTGTCTTATTTCAGTGAGTAACATCCCAATGTCATGTTTTTATGCATTTTTAAACTTTTAAAAAGTATTTTGTATTGCATTTTCTGTTAAAAAAGAAAATGTTATGACATAAATGTAAATATGGAATCTCAATTTTATTTCCAAATTTCAATCTACCTTCCAATTCCTCTCCAGAATTGGAAGGTAGATTGAATCCAATATATATTAAAAATTAAAATAATATATTAAAAATTTTCTACTTTTACAACTACTTAAATGCAGTATTATACATTTTTAAGTTATTGTGGTAGGTTTAATCCTTTGCCACTCATTCTGGATTTTGTGGATTTTACAAATAAAGTCAAAAAAAAGAAGGAACAAGCAGAATCCTAGACCCGTTATGAAAGGACAGCCAGAAAGAAGGGCGTCTAGGGCCGAGAAGAGACAGATATGGAGTCTAGAAGGTGGAAATGTTTCTGAAAGCTATTGATAAAATTATTGTAAGAGTGTGAAGGAGTTTTAAAAAAGATTAACCTGTTTGAAATGCACTGTGTTAGAAATTAAGTTCAAGAATCATGTCAGGAAAAGAAATCATTTTCAGTATATCAAAACAGGTGGCAAAGGATGTCAATAAACAATTGCTAATATAAAAAATCACACATTTAAAAGTTATTTTAGCAGTCCTGCTGAACAGGTTTGATTTTTTTAATGTTCCCCGGTGTTAACATTTTTTAACACTTGTCTTTCTAACTTCCTCTAAATGCAGAGATCTAACAGGAGATCTTCATTACCTGGTTGGCAGGATGGTAAGTGTATATCAGTAGGAAGTGCATTTTATGATGGTTTGTTGACGATACAGAGCTTTATTTGTGCTATTTTTAATCTTTCACAGAGTGAGCGACTGTGCGGGCTGTGTTACAAAAATGTCAGTTACTTAAGGCAACACCTTAAAATCTACCACACCATTCCAAACAAAGAAGAGTTCCAGCTTCTGATGCAATATGGAAATTCACGGTTCGATCAAGATAAATATGTTTTTATATATTTTCTTAATTTTTATTTGCACTGATTTCCTGAAAGCTTTCCCCCCCCATTTCCCAACACAGAAGTAGCAAATCCTTGGAATGCACAATGTGTGGGAAGAGAAATCTCGTCCGCCTTGATAAACACTTACAAACAGCACACAAAATTGGTTCAGCAGAGGTAGGATATTCAATTTATGACAATAAAGTCTGCAAAATCTGTTGTAAATCATGTTTCCATCCAATGCTACTTTGATGTCATGAAAAAAATTGTTGAAAGGAGCGAGAACCGATCATGAAGCAGGCCAAGAGAGCAGTCATAGTTAAAGAGCTGGCAGAACTGCGTGAGTCCAACCCTGATGTGCCCATGGTATCCAGCTTGGACTTGGGTGTTACGACTGAACATGGTAATTTTAAGTTGTCTTAACATTACGATATATATATTGATTTGATAGGGGCACTGAAAAGGATGCTTACATCATCAAATCCTATTCAAAATCTAAGGGCTTCTGTGTGACAAGCAAATATAATACATATAGACTGAAATTTGGAACCCAAGGGTTTAAACTTACAAATCTCCTACACTTTATTTTAGAGAAGTTTGTTCTGCCCATTGGAGAGATCATTGAGGAGGCTGTTTCTGAGGAACTGTCGGAGGAGCCAGAGGGATCAGAGTTCAGGGAGGAGGAGGAGGCCTTGAGTATCAGTTCAACATCCACAAACCATCCTGTGACTGGAATACATTCTGCCTTCCAATGCCCCTCCCTCACACCTCAAGGAAAGGATCGCGTTCATACCTTGTCCTCCTCCAATCACCCACATCAACAAATTGGTCAACAGTTTTCTTCCACCCCTGTTTCTGGGGCAAAAAACTCTTCTACCAGTCACCAAATTCCTTCCACCGCCCTATGTGCATCCATGCCTCCGCCTTCACGTGAGACTGTGACTTCTTTTAACCTACCGGAGCACTTGAGTGGCCATATTCATCACTCGACTGGTTCAATGTCAAGGGACTGCACGTCCAACTGGGAGAAGTTGGATTCCAGGTTGCAGCAGTTGGAAAAAAAGGTGGAGTGTTTGATGGAAATTCAGCAACAGAAACCCACTCCATTTAAAGCACCTCTATCTGTTCAAAACAGTGAGCATGTCGGCAAGGGAAAGAAGGATTCTTGTTTCTATGGTGAGTTATTCATTCTTTTCTATTACAATTTGGGGGAGAGAGTAGAGAGATGGTTTTTGTTAGTATGTTTCTTTCCCTTTTCATGTTTGTTTTGCAGAAAAGGCTGTTGAAGACTTCTTCAAGTTTCGCCTGGGGCCACGGACTGGACGGAAAGACAGGAGCAATGCAAGGAGGTCCTCAGGCCATGCTCTTCAGTTTTGCCTCTACATGGCTGCTGGTCTACCCTCCAAGATTGTCTCCAGTGACCTAAGATTCCTGAACCAAATGGACAAGTTGTGTGGGCAAGTGTTTTTCTTGGTCCAGAAATATTATATATATATTTTTT